GCGCGCACTCACACAAACACACAAGCGCACTTACATGCGCGCACACAAATTAATCAAAAAGCGAGTGAGCCTGCATGTGCAGAAATAGCTCAGCAGTGCTATTATTCACTTGGCGTGCACATACGTCCACCTAAAAAATTCACAAATGTGTTGCCCTTTGCACTTTACATATCGTTGGCAAATGCTGAACGTGATGTCGGCTCAGACCTGATTGGCTGCTTATGTAAACGGACATGGCCACCCGGGGGAAGCTGTTTGTTCTCACTGCTACATGATGACAGATGTGAAAGCACACGCATGCATGCACATACACTTGTGTGCTTGCTGAAACATATTCAAACACACTTGTTTCGAGTTTGGTTTCACTGTAACCATTATTTCCAGATGAATGCGCTTTGAGAGTTATGACCATTTTCTCTCTTAGCGGCGAAGGTTTGCAAGTGTGTGCGCACCTAGTGAATGTTGTTTTTTTTCATCACAAAGAAATTTTGCACAATTTGATTGCAAGAAGAAGAACTTTTGGCAGCCATTAAAACAGTTTGGGAATGTCTTTGCAACTGTCAGTGTCACTGAACAAACACTGACAAAAAACAAAAAAAAAAACACATTCGCTACGTGCGCACGCACTTGCAAAGCAGCTCAGTGAGATACGGGCTTTCGACGACTGCACTGTATGTATGTCCGCATGATCAGCTTCACTCATGAAATTCTATTGGTCTTTATAGCATTGGGAAAGAAAGGAAAATGATTTGAATGTTTTATAATTGAAGGCTATCATTTGAGGTAGCAGGCTTCTATGCAAACTGCACATTTTCCCACAAACTACTCTTACAGGGTCTTTCTTTCCTTTTTTCATTCTTTTCTCTCACTGTCTTTCACCAAGAGCAGTCTTTTCTTGTTTGCAGCCCCTCTTTGCACCCCACATGAATCATCGAGAGCTAGGGCTTGGGCATTGGCCTTGACCTCTGACATTGCCTGCAATCAGTCATAGCACCGGGCCCTTCCCTCCTCTCAGGCCACAGACGGCTCATTGACCGTCTCCCCTCCACTTCCCCCCCACCCTCTCCTCCTGTTCCTCTCTTTGTCCCATTCCCTCATAGCTGGATTCACAATGGCCATGCTGTTTTTTTAAAGGGGTCCTGCTCAGAGACAATGGCGAGCAAACACGCCCTTGGAGATGGAACAACAGGCCCAAGGCCCCGCTGTCAGACAAACTGGCCTTACGCATCAATCCGTGAAACGACCTTGAACTGATGGGTAAATGATGGTGTCATCCGGTCAGGAGAGGACAAACCAGCTTTGGAGCTCAGGCAAGCCAAGCAAACAACTCCCATCCCCCATTCCCCAAATCCCCACACACTTTTTCTTTCATCCTTTCCATCTGTTCCTTTGCATCTTGGGATACTTTGGAGTTACATACTGACGATCAAGACCAGACTATCATCTTTTTTTCTTAAAAAAAAAAAAGTCACTTGCTGTTTCATGTGATATTTGTGACACAACAGGGATTTAGCCATAAGCCCACCAGATCCCATTCATCCCTCCGGTATTTTTTTTTTTTCCTGGTCGGAAAGAATGTGGTTTACATTTACAGCTGCAGCATGACTAACGCCTACTTCAAACAGAAGCACTTTGAGTGGAAATAATGACCGCCTTCATCAGCCATCACTGACCTTTAGAAAAGTGTCAAAAAGAGCAGTTCTCCCAAGCAAGATGCCAACAAAGAACAGTAATTAGCTTCAAATTTAAGCATTAAAAAAAGAAAAAAAAATCTACACTCACAAATGACACTTGATCTTCCTGAGATTGGTGATAAGTGATATTTTTAATAATCTTGTATTGTCTCTCATGCGATTGTTAATGCGCTGTTGTAAAGCAGTGAGTGTTCTAGTTGTACGTCACACTGCTCTCCAAATCTGGAGAAGACTAAAAACTCCTATCTGAATGTCTGACCGACTTTTTTACCAGCAGATGTGGTATTCCGTAAGCCTACACTTCGGCAGTATCATTGTGTGCGAGAGTGTGTGTGCGCATACAAGGCTAGCGCTACTGTTCCTGCCAAACACAATCGTGTATTGACACCTTTCCCTTGAATTGCTCCCACGCTGCTGTGTTGGTAACGGCATCAGGTCGGGCGTCCCCGGTGGCTCCACTCTTGTATATGGCGCCTGGTCATGTTGCCTGTCTGCAAACACCCCATCTGTTGCTGCTGTGGAAGGCTGTCGGAAATGTGATGGTTGAGTAGTGAGCGGAGACTGGAGACTATGGCTGCCTGTGAGATCAGAGGTGATATTGGCTTTGAGAGGGTGTTAATGCAAAAGGCCTCTCTGACCTGACCATTTTCCAGATTCGGTCCACCTGGCAGGCAGAAGAGGAAAATTACGCCTCCATCGCACAGTGTATCCTGCCCCTCATTAGAAAAAGTAATGATGTAATTATATGTACTTTAAAAAGGATATTGGATCGTTCATTTCTCGAGTTTGGCTGAGTGACAAAAAAAGAACACTCCCCCCGCTGTAGCTGCTTTTGGTTCAGCCATGCCTGTCGTCGTAAAATACCACTTTCCTCATGTCCAATAAAAAGGTCCGCAAGATTGCAAATGATGGATTATTTATGATGTACATACACAGGCAAACAGTACTGGGCGATGTTCAAACGATCCTGTCGGAGTTGTGATATGTTGCAAAATTCATTTCCACAGTTATGAAAACCGAGGGCCAAACGATGTTGCTGCTCTTGTTTAAACAAAATATCACAATAAATGATTGTTTCATGAATCTAAATCCTGACCAAGACCAACATAATATTGACGGTGTACAAGATGGGGCCTTCGCACATTTTGACGTTACCAGTCAAGGACGGAGCCACAATTTTTCACCAGTTCTACTGGGGGCCCACATAGGACCACGTAACTTTCGAACCAAATGTCCAACAAAAATGGCATTTTAAATTAGGACAAAATACTGTATGTGCTTTTAACAAATTAAATTTGTTATCATACATTTCTCAATGCAATGCATTATAAAAGGTCGAGCCTTCTATGATAAAGGGTTTGAACAATCAAAAATAGCCCCATACAATGTTTTTGATGTTGTTTTGTTTCCCAGTGCAAAGGGCTCTCGTGTAAAAAAATAAATAAATCATAATAATGCAATTCAAGGACAGCACAAAACTGTTGAACAGCAACTCATTTTGTGCATTCTTCACAAAAATCAACTCACTCAAAATTGTAGTATTGTTTCGGTAAAATCCTGCATGTCTCATTCCAAATCTGCAAAAAATGATTTGGCCCTCCTCATGTTGTAGTACAGGGTGAAAAAAAATCTGATGGAGGTTTCTCCACGACACATTTTCCATGAAAAACATGGGTTTGATTCCCCCACCGAAAAGCCAAAGGGAAAAAATGAAATATTGAACAAAATATTGAAAAAAAAACCCTGAATAATTGAACTTGCACATCCCAAGCCTTGAGTACAAAGACCACTGTAGTAGTTGTTTACAATTCCCATCTCCCTTGAAAAATCTTTCAAAGCAGTTGCCACCCTCCACTCCCCGTTTTTTTTCCTTTTTGATCAAGGGCCACTCAGCGTGGCCGTGGGGCACCAGTGGCCCATTCCTCAAGTGTTCCAGTTGGAACCTACACAGCTCACTCTCTGAAGCCTCGAAATCGACAGGGTGATTTCTCTTCAAATTATTCAAATGAACAATGGATTTATTCACATTTAATTTGAAGTCAAATCCATAATCTATACAAACTTCATGAATAGAGTTTTTGATCATCCTACATTTATTTTTTTTTTACATTTGTGCTCATGTTGAGCACCAGTTTTAATACAAGCAAACACACGCACACGCATGCCCACACACACGCACACGTAGTATGTTGCAAATACATATTGTATGATGTACAACCAGCGCAGATAATACAGCAATGAGACATCTGTGGTGTTCGACAAAAAGCAGCCAGTGGCAGTGATAGGATGGAGAGAGTGTAAAGTAAAAGCGATGAAGGAAGAGATTTACCTTGTGTGGGAATCTGTTTGTTACAACACATGTACACGTGTGCGTGTGCATGTGCCTGTGTGTGTGCGTGCGTGCGTGCGTGCGTGCGTGCGTGCGTGCCGTGCGTGTGTGTGTGTGTGTGTGTGTGCGTGTGTGTGTGTGTGTGTGTGTGTGTGTGTGGACACATGAAAGGGTTCACAGATGTTTGCAAATGACTTTTTTTAAACTCTGAAATCGATTTATACTTTCCAAAGGGGGTTCCAGCAGATGACAAACCAGGTTGAAATATGTTCTGGATGAGGTGCGTGCATGACGATTTCCTTGCCTGTGAAACCTCTGCCAGCACACGGAGAAAGCAATATTTGATATTGATTTGCGTTACCCTTTACATAAGAACTGCACAGGAGCATTTCGGGGTGGCGGGGGGTCATTTTTTATGCTTTTTATATGTATGATGGCAAAACTCTGGATTTTCTTTGACATTGGCTGTCACTGAAAAACAGATTGCATACCTGCTGCTTGTCTGGTCCACCATAACGGCTGTGTGTGTCTTATGTCGAAGTTGTTCTTAAATTACATGCACTGTATTGTGTAAATTCAACGTATGCCATATGACCTTCAAATGTAATCCACAGCCCTTTTTGAGAGCACATCACTGCAACTGTTGCTGGTCACTGTGCACCCTTTCGCCTCAGCCTGCTCTGATTTGAAAGTTGACGACAACATTTTGGAACTCGGAAGTTTCCCAAAAGCACTGTTTTGAAGGAAGACATCTTTTCAAGGATGAACGTCAATGTGACTTGCAAAATGTGGTTGTGTGGACGTGGGCTTGGATGAAGAAACATTCTCTGAAATACACATGAAGAAAAATAGTGAAACATATCCATGGATCAGCCACTTACAAAGCTCATATGTTATTTTCAGATTGCAATGCCCTACATCAACTGCTATTTCATCATGCAAATGATTCGTAAAGCTCATCTTTCTGCCTCTCACAGCACCCTGACGATATACAGCATCAGTCAGGACGACGAGGCCATCTACCAGTGCATTGCTGAGAACAGCGCCGGATCCACGCAGGCCAGTGCTCGGCTCACGGTGCTCTGGGCTGATGGACTCCCTGGTGTGCCCACCAACGTACAGGCCAAGGCCCTCTCGCCCACCACCATCCAGGTGTCCTGGAGGGAACCTGATCAGAACACACAGGACATCATCGGTTATGTGCTGCACATCCGCAGGACCCCAGGTGAGGACGCAACAAAAGCCAAAGAGCCACAGGCAAATGAACGGGAAGCGTCCATCCATCTCTTTTCGAATCTGATTATCCTCACGGGGGTCACGGGTGTGTTGGAGCCTATCCCAGATGTTTTTGGGCAGTAGGTGCGGTACACCCTGAACTGGTTGCCAGCCAATCGCAGGGCACACATAGACGAAGAGCCATTCGTACTAACAATCACACCAAAGGAGAATTTTTAGAGTGTTCCATTAACCTGCCACGCATGTTTTTGGATTGTGAGAGGAAACCGGAGTACCTGGAGAAACCATGCAGGCACTTGGAGAACAGGCAAACTCCACACAGGAGCCTAGAATCGAACCCTTCACCTTTGCACTGTGAGGTGGACGTTAACTAACCAGCACACCACTGTGCCGCGAAAAAGAAACTATATTTCATCAAAACATATTGATGATCAATGCAATTGGATTGCACATATACTAACCATTATGGACGAATCATACAGTATGTTACACATAAGCTATAGCTTAGTCCCAGCTGCTCTGCTCCCCAGTACATCTCCCTCTTGTGTAATTAAAGGCCCCAGGCATGAGCCAATACGGTTGCTGCAATTACATTTCCAGGATGGCATGGCCTGATAGTTTAGGGCTGGAGGTAGATTGCGGTTATGGTCGGGTGTCTCTGGTTTAAGAGCAATAAAATGCAATAGCACACCCCCTTTTTTGCGCTGCCATCTCTACCTCTGGCTGAAATTCCCAAGACCATCAAGGCCAAAGTAGATTAGCTATTCATTAAGAGCCAGCAAAACCAGTGAATAAGCAATAACCATTAAACGATGGCAGGAACAGATATATTGTCTCCCCTCTTGATCTTTTCTTAATATCACATAAATGGGAAAGAAAAAATCTAATTTTAACCTTATTTCTCTGTGACTTGATCCCCCGTTACGTCGCATACCTCCGTTGCTCAAAACAAGACCCTGTGGAAATGGAGTACGAGGAGGCGGTCAGTAAGGTGACGCTGCAACAGATCATCCGCGATCTCGAGCCTTCCACCAGTTACACCTTCTACGTCAAAGCCTACACGTCCCACGGGGCCAGCAAGCCATCAGACAGTGCCACGGAGAGCACTCAAGGGGAAGGTGAGAGCTCAGAACTGCACGCACACAGAACCCACCCGTTGCGATGAAATACAGTGGTGAGAATTTTGTGTTCTTTTATTGTACAAAATCCACCAATCCTCAAAAGGAATAACAGAGTTTGTCTGTGGATTGTTGCATGCATTCCACCATGCCGAGATCACACACATGGATTGAGTGATGGGATATCTGTGGCTTCAGTGCCTTGCCTCAAATGCACCTTGACAGTACGATACACCAAATGCAAACCAGTCATACCCCACAGCCGGTCTCAATTTTCAGCTTTTTTTTTTTTTTTTTGTAGCCAGAGTAGGATTTGAATTTTGGATGCTACTTTTACGGATTAAGCTACTGCCTTCCTTATGAGGCTTCGAAAATTGTACTGCATACACACAAGGTTATCCATTATTTTGAGTCTGTCGTTGTTTTTTTTTGTTTTGAGTACTTGTTTTAATTTAGAGGTTGCTTAAACAAAGAAAAAAAAAAACAATGCCCGAACCCAACAACCTTTTTGAAAGGATGCTCTACAAAAGACATGGCGAACATATTTGCCGTATGTAGATGTTTGATCCAGTCATACCCCACAGCCGGTCTCAATTTTCAGCTTAGGATTTGAATTTTGGATGCTACTTTTATGGATTAAGCTACTGCCTTCCTTATGAGGCTTCGAAAATTGTACTGCATACACACAAGGTTATGCATTATTTTGAGTCTGTCGTTTTTTTTTTTTGTTTTGAGTACTTGTTTTAATTAAGAGGTTGCTTAAACAAAGAAAAAAAAAACAATGCCCGAACCCAATAACCTTTTTGAAAGGATGCTCTAAAAACGACATGGCGAACATATTTGCCATATGTAGATGTTTGATCGTACAGTATTTTCTTTTGTCTTGCAGTTCCGGCACCTCCCTCCCTCTTCGCCAAAGTTGTAAACAGCAGTGTAGTGCAAGCAATGTGGGAAGCTTCCACCAAGATGGGTCAACACCAGGGCTTCCGACTGTATTACAGGAGAGCCCACGCAGCAGTGTTTACTGGTCCCATTTTCTTACCACGCAACGCTACCCAGTACAACATCACTCAGCTGGGTAAGAAGAACAAGAAGAACAGATTAGTCCTTGAATTTATTCTTAATAGAGGTGTTTTCACATCCCCCCTCGGGTCAAACACAATCTGTTCCAGCGGACTGACTGTTGAATTATTTTTCTCCAATTCTCATCTTTACTGTTATGGCTCTTTTACTGATCCTCTCCTTACCATTGTGAAGTATCCCGAAGCAAAGCCAAATGTGAAAAAAATACACTTAGAAAATACATGGCTTTGTTAGGCATTCTGTCAGTACTGACAAATGACGGGAAACTTCCAAAAACTAACCGGCTCAGCGTCAGTGGAAGCCGTCACTGGAATCTAACCGGGTCAGTAGTGACGGACCTTCTCGGGCCATCACTGATAGCTGCCCGTTTCGCTGCTAACGAATGGAAAATTGTGATACATATCTCGCTTGCATTTGTTTGCGGGATGAAGATACAATGGGGTTGCTTCGTGTGAACTGCATTACCGACGTACAAATGGAGGCGCGTCACCAGACAGTTCCTTTTTTCTGCCAATAAAGTCAGAGAAGAAGCAGAGGAGAAAAAAGAAGAAGAAAAAAAGCTCGCTTTCGGTCTGACCGTACCATCATATAGTAGATCATGAAGTGATGTAGCAGAGACAGAAGCAGGAGAGACATGAACGTAGTTAAAGTAACGATGATGGAGTGCCGATCTATTGCACTATGTAAGAGGTGCACCTTCTACATAGCGCAAGCATAACGGACTCGCTGGAGGTGAATCGGCGCACACAAAATCTATTTAACATCCTGCAAGAAGATCTCCACTTTGGGATAATGTAAAGTTGGCCGCTGCGAAGACGGACACTTGGACCCAATTGGGAGTCGGTTTGTGGCAATCTCCCAAAACATACACACACGCGCACACACACACACACACACACACACACGCTATAATAATGTATTCAATAAGCTGATTTCTCGGAACGCCCAGCACGGTGCAGTGCAGTCTGCCTAATTCCCAAACAAGGTAAACTCGACTTGCCCTGGCACTAAAATAAATATGCGTCAACTTTTACACCAAGTGCATCGGCGGCTGTCTACAAAAACAAGGCCCTTAATCTCTCATGTTCTGATATTTGATTTTCAGACCTTTTACTTTGATTTAAAAAAAAAAAATGAAAGACATTGTGTGACCTCAGACAGAAAGGGTCAAGAGAGTTTTCTTTCGAGAATAAATTGGTACTCATGGTGTGAATATCTGTGTCATGTCCAGATCCTTCACTGGTTTATGAGATAAATCTGCTGGCATACAACCAACACGGAGATGGCAATGCCACCATGCGCTTTGTTTCACTACGAGAGGCTTTGGAGAAATCTGGTAATCGCAAAGCACCAACGCAACCGCACAATCTTTTTCCTATTACTGTGCTTAAAGGCTTTAATGTCGGCACACGTTTGAACGTGATCTGTCGTGTCTCGCCAGTTTTAGATGCCTCCTGTGACTGTGTGCAAGACGAACAGCAGGCCCCCCCCCAGGCGGCAAACAGCACCGCACTGGAATACTCTTCTTCCCAGGAGGGCTCTGGCCTGAACGCAGCCACCAGAAGAGAAATGGAGGTCAATTGCAGTGCCGGAGGGAACAAAATGGTTGACAGCAAGGAGCTGGTGAGACTCTTCCCTCAAGCCAACATGCAAGAGCCACGCGTGGTGAGTCCTCACCAAGCTGCGGCCACGGTGTTGACATGATTTGCATTTGTAAACCCAGATGCACTAAAACAGCTGTGCCCAAACCTTTTTTGACCGAAGATCTACTTTTCGATCAACCAACATCCCGCGATTCACCCGTTACCACGCACTCATGCCATAATGAGCAACAGTCACAAGGCTGGTGAGACTCTTCCCTCAAGCCAACATGCAAGACCCACGCGTGGTGAGTCTTCACCAAGCTGCGGCCACGGTGTCGACATGATTTGCATTTGTAAACCCATATGCCCTAACACAGCTGTGCCCAAACCTTTTTTGGCCGAAGATCTACTTTTCGATCAACCAACATCCCGCGAGTGACCCGTTACCGCGCACTCATGCCATAATGAGCAACAGTCACAAGAGCCCCTAAGATGATTTGTGGGTTTGTGAAAAGGAAATAAATCACTGCCTACCTTCATCGAGACCTGATGCGGAGGCATGGGATGCACTTTTGCAGCGTGTTAACAATCGTAGCTCACATGTACCGTTTTAAAATGCCTCTCTCATTCCTCCAGATTCCCATTCTTTGCCCGTGTCCTTGGTGAATTGGACATGAAACAAACTCTGAATGACAATGAGAATAAAAATAAAAGATAGAGCGCAACAGCTCTGATCGCAAGCTGCTATTCTGGACAGTTGACGGCTAACAACTTCTGGTGATACAGGTCACGGGCCACCGTAGGTTAAAGGTGACCTGCTTTTTTATTTAATTTAATTTTTTAAATACTTTTTGTGAAAGTGAGACTGATAGGATGCGAAAGGTGCAGTGTGCACGAGCACAAAAATATATCATATTAATAACACACAGACACATAACAGCACACAGACACACAAATGTTTTTTTTGGGGGGGGGTTGTTTTTTTTTAACGCTCGACACCCCTCACGATCAACTTGGGACCAGTTTGCGAGCTACCGGTCGATCGCAATCGACATCTTGGGCCTACCCTAGAAAATAGTCACCCCAACATTATGTGCGTACATTACACTGCATACCACCTCCAGGACTTTACTCAACTGCATGTGGGCTACACCTGAGCACCTCAACTGTGAGTGTGATTTAGCCATCCGGGTTTTCACTCAGCCCTGTCCCCCTAATACATTACCTTCTCTGAAAAATGGATATGTATATGAACATATATAGTGTATGATGGCGAGGGGGGTTTAAAAGCAAAGTCTTGTGACCTTTTATTATTTCTTGATGTCATTTGTGATTTGAGGAGTTTCAGTACAACACAGCCATTTTGTAAAATAATAACGTTTAAGTAATTTCCCATATGTGTTATCAGATTTAGAGTTAGAAAAAAAAAGATGGAAATTTAAGTTGATCTTGATAGAGTTGCAACAACTAAATATGGCACAGCGATTTGGTGGGATGGCCCTTTCAGTTTGCACAGCGAGGCTCATGCCGCTTCCTGTACTGCGCTCTTCTCTCCAGCAACATCGCTCATTGCTGTCTTGCCTTTTCATGCCTCTACCAGCCACTCATTCTACGGGTGCACTCCCTTGCCCCGCTCAGGTGCAAAACCCGCGTCCCCTATCCCTCCTGTTTCTCTTTCCAAAACTCAGCACAGGGGGAGCTGAATAAAACCCTCACTAGAATTTGAATCAAACCACATTCAAAGTGACTTTTTTTTAAACAATGCAATTTCTTTCTCTCTGTGTGTGGCTTTTCAGGCTGACACAACTCTCTTGACCTTCTCGCCAAATGACACGCAGCTGTCCACAATACCACTGGACGACTTTACTGTTGAGCGGGAAACGGAGACACCTTTCCATGAGTCCCCTACGACACGAACGGGTCAACACAACCAAGGCTAATCAATGTATGAAATGTCCACTCAGAATCTCTTTCACTCAGGTTTTCTTTTGAAAGTAGTTTGCATTTTGTGCAAAGATTTTTATTGGTAAGTTAAGAAGTTCTACAGAGTCTAGAACTGGTTTGGGGGGAGTTGTTTTTCGCCAGGCTTACCCGTGAAGTGTTCTTTACTCTCACTTTCTGGTCATTTGTTGATTTTCTGGTGTTTGGCAGCACCCAGAAGAGAGGCCCCAGATGTCCTTGTTATACAAAGATGATTTCATTTTTTTTAAGTTTATAAAATGATATTTACAGACATATGCTGTGTCTTAATCATCTCCATGTCAAAGTGGTTTTAAGTTACTGGTCCTATCACTACCATCCATCTTGTTGCTCACCGAAGACCGAAACCTTCTTCCAGGGACTCAGTCAGTTTTTCCTCAGGACTTTGTTTTGGTCCCCCCATCCCCCTCCCATTGTGAATTCTGGGCCCTCATACATGCTCTAGGCATGTGCGAACCTTTGATTCAACAAAAACCTACCTCAGCCGGAATGAATGTGTTGTGGGAAGCCTTGGATGGACTTTATCTTCCCCTGTGTTCTCACTAAGTGTACGTGCAGAAAAACTGATGGGTCAGAATTCCATGATCAGGTGCCGCGCTACCTCAGATGTCAAGAATCATATCTCCTCTTGTGCTTGCTGAAGCAGGATGAAAAACGAGTATCCAACATGAAGCACTTCCAAAATGCTGACGTTAATGTTCTACCTCAAAAATAACATTGTTAATGTTGTCACTGTTGTCGCTGATCTTTGTCTGTTTATTGCATCATGAATATTCCTTATCTCCTCCGTTTGAAGAATTTGGTGTCAAGTCGATATAAACTCATTCAGTACCACATGCAATATCATGTAATGTGTTCTGGATTACATTGTTTAACTATGCTGTTCCATTTGAAAGGCTTATTTTACTCTCTCTTTTACTTCACCTTTTTTGGGGTTAACAGTTCATTTAGTAGAACAAAACACTCCTAAAAATAAATTGCAAAGAACATAACATTTTCCAGACAATTATCGGTACTGCCAAATGTGATATTTAATGCTGAATTGTACAAGCGCACCATGATACAAATGAGTGGTATGACGTTATGTGTATGTGCGTATCTCAATGTATGTGCAAGACCTATTTGGTGTTTTGTTTTTTTCAGTTTCCAACACAAGCACAAAACGGACACATTTTACACTTAAGCTAGCATAGCCCAATATTTTGGTCAATCATTTACTCATTCACTTGCTGAGAGTTAGATGAGAAGGTTGATGCCACTTATTTAGATTGTGAAGAAGCATCGGTGCAAGTACATACTGGGACTTGCATTGCTCTTACCAAAGTGAACAAAATGTATCCCACCTCTTTTGGCTGTCCAGATAAATCCCTGGAAGGGAAAGGCATGCTTGAACACACCCAGGCAAAATAAATCAGGTTTATTTTACATACTAGCTTGCCTGTCAGACGCTGCACATGACCTTCATCCATCCATCCCAATTTCCGAACTGCTCCTCTTCACCAGGGTTGCGGGTGAGCTGGAGCTTATCCCGGCTGACCTTGTGCGAGAGGCGAGGTACACCCAGGACCGGTAGCGAGTCGATTGCAGCATCCTTCCTCCCTCACATCCACCAACCTTCTTCTCTAATTTTCACAATTAAAAAAAAAAATGTTTGTCCAAAATGCTGAACTATTCAGTATTATTCAATCTTCAGTCTTGGTTAAATGTTTCAACGAGGGTACTAGCAAAAATGAAGGCGCTGATGAGACATGAAAGTTGTTCATCACTGCCCTTCTGTCTTCGATAAACATGAGTGTCAGAGCTTCAGGAACACAATCCTGCGGGATTACAATGACCACAGACAGTTCTTGACAGTGTGTCGTCACAGGGTCTCGCTCTGAAATGCATTTATGCTACCTACCTCAGTAGTTTCTGTCCTTTTGTTCAGGTCTTAAGGAATCAATCCAGAGTAGAAACATAACTACATTAATATACAGTACAAACAAATGTAAATAGTGTACATTCCATAGTCAGCATTCACTGGACGGTAAATCTAGTCGGGATGGCACGCAAACGGTATACAAACACACACCAAGCAATTACCTAATCCCTATGTAGTGCTCGCATAATCACAGTTGATGTTCTTCCTTAGTTCTTAGTCGATGTGAATGTTTGACTTTATCAGATGACTTTTTCCCATACCTCAAATTGGTAAAAAATTTTTGTCATCGGTGTTTGATTTCACTGTAGCGTTGAATAAAGTCTAACGGTCAAATGGAAAGTGGGTGGCACTTACAACTCACAGGACACGCAAAATGTCTTGTGTATTCCTGTGTCAGTCAGTCATCGTAATTTCGGGTTCATCTCCCGCAGGAAATTGCTCATGCGGCTCCTATGGATGTGTCAAGCTTGAGTGTCACACTGTTTAACTTGATTCACTGGAGGGGTACCGCAGTGATGATCATGTTTACGTGATTACACTCTGATCGGGTCAGGCTGTGAGGTGGCCGTGTACTACAAACTGTAAGATGTAATGAGGCACTCTCGAGCTGTTGGCTCCCTGTCGGGTGCTGTGACGCCCACCGCCAAGGCATCAGAGGCAGTGAGGAAAGAGGTTGTTTGATGTCTTTGGCACATTGGGAAGTGCTTCATTTTAATTAACTTCCTCTGTTAGCCGGTCTACTATTACCTGTGTTCAGGAAATTGGATTTTTGGGAGGCCCTACATGCATCAGTACATTCAGTAGATGTAAAAGTAGCTGCTTTACTGTACTATGTTATGCCAAATCCTGACAAAACTGCTATTAGCAATGCAGTAGTGGTAACAGTTTATGTCCACTTTACGGAGTTCAAGTGCTGCTATTGCTCTACTGATTTGGAAAACAAAAATATGTTTAGCATTAGATCCACGCTATAAATATTACAGTTTGATTAACGACACGGTATTTGTTAAAAAATGAATCAATAAATATTCAGTTTCTGGATTGGTTTGATATTTACTGTTGTAAAACATCTCAAGACCCATGTTAGACTTACATACTGTAACTTTATATGAAACTGACAGAATACAGGAACAGGCATAGTCAATTTCTCTGCATACATTACATGTTATCGTACCGGGGCTAAATTTCCCAAGTCCAGGAAATGAATGTGTTGAGGACACAATGGCATGACAAACCATCAGAAAGGTACAATAAGAGTCAAACACTCTTTCATGAATCTAAATGCTTTAAGTACCAAGCGGTAACTGTCAATTGAATGGCATGTTTTGTTTTGTTTTTCGAGGCCTGCAAAAACTCACAGTATGGTTTGCATCCACAGCCTGATGCAATTAACCTTTGCTCAAAATAACTTTTACGCAAGATGTGATCGACCACGGTGCAGCACCAAATTAGCATCCCATATGATTGTGAATTGACTACTTGTCCGATGCGTTTATCTCTCCTCTTGGAGACCCTTAGCCTGTACGTTTCAGTGCTGAGCTTTTCCAAGTAATTTATTCTCTTGTCAAATGGTGATATTATGCTATTGTACTCGTGTACTTGATATTTGAGATCAGTCTTACGTTTTGGTATACAATCTGTCGGGTGAGAAGCATATTGATGGTACAAAAGGTAGTATGCAGACAGAGCTACGTTAGATCTGCATGTAAACTGAAATGCTAATGTGTTATTTTAGCTGGAAAACAAGTGTTAGTTGATTATTATTGGACTTGATATGTAGCCAAATAATAGCAAGCAAATGTGATGAGCTCAATACGGTGCTATTGATGGGCCTGTCGCACATGGTTGCTCAAGCTCCTTCGATGGTGTGTATTCACGAAAATAGGATGAAGGATCTTTCGGTTCGTACATCTAAATCTGTCTTGCTCTCACCAAAGCCCGATGATCTCCTCATCCACATCCCGCTCCCACCAGTCATCCTCACTTGAATGACTCGTGGCGGGGTCCCGTTACCTCGAAAGTGACAAGCTGTCTTCATTCCCTGTCATAAAAAAAAATGCTTGCTTGAGCAGAATGTATCTTCTATATCGATGTTGTCAACACGATTTAAAGCTGTTTCGATATTAAAGCAAAGTGGAGTGCAGCAGGTGTGATTGACTCCAACACCTGCCCAGTGAGTTCAGCATCAACTCTACGCCGCTACGTGATTTGCTGACGCCACGTCAGGTTGAATTCTTTTATATTTGATTTACAATCTTGGCAAGGTTTGCAGAGATTCAGTCATAATCGGTCAACATGGTGATGTCATTAGAATACTGGTCCAGTTGAAAAGATATGGAGTCTATGCATTATATTCAGTTTTGGGGGTTTTTTTTCAGTTGCTTGTACAAATCTAATGTGATCAACAAGAAACACACACAAAAAAAACAAAAAACATTTCTAGTTTTAAACTTTATCGCAAAAGGTGCTTCATTTCCAAAGTGATCAGCATTTGATCACACATTTGTTTCCGAGCACGCATGCGTGCGTGCGTGCGTGTGTGTGTGTGTGTGTGTGTTAGTTGCCGTTCGTGTATTTGAGCATTGATGTCACTGCTTTTACTGTTCTTCCCACAGTTCAGTCCAGGTCAGGTCAGGTTAAACATGAGGTTAATTATTGTCAGGGATCATCACTGAAATCTCGCTGCACATTTCTTCACTGGAATGCCAGTTTATACATTTGTATAAATATCTACATATATTGTATGTGTGTAAAAAAACAAGACCAGTTTAGTGGTTTGTATTGTTTTACAATTTCATTGTGCAACATTGATTGAAGGAAATAAACAATAAATGAGCTCTAGTATTAACAATTGGTCCTGTCTTTTTTGAGTGCGTGTGGATGTTTTACAGCAAAGATGTGTTTGCCTCCTCTGGTCCAAATGAGTATTTAAGAATAAAAGAAGCTCAAGAAGAACCATTGTATAGAACAACAGGATCCCTGCGGGGACAGTGCTGGCTGGCTGTGATTGGCTAAGCAAGATAAGAAGATAAGAGAACCTTTATTTGTCTCACAATGGAGAAATTCCCAATTTACAGCAGAAAAATTATGAAAGGGAGAAAGTAGAAGAACAAAAAGTATATAAATAAATATAAAATATAAATATAAGTGTATGAAAAATGGGTGAGTGGGGGTGAGTCCAGGTTTTCAGGTCTCACAATAGCCTGACAGCGGTCGGCAGGAACGAGCGGTGGTACCTCTTCTTCTTGCAGCGCGGGTGTATTAGTGTAGGCAGAACCAGATGACATCACTTCACTTAGCTATGAGAACACGAATCTACAATTTTTGTTTGAGGCTAATATTTTATGTAGGTGTATTTATTTATTTGTATATGAACACATATGGTTGTG